TTGGTGTACACATATATATAGCATTACAGATAAAATCAATTGAATAATAAATTGCATCACTTTATAGTCTATATAGTAAAGAACACAAACCATATATCCAATCTATATATACTCTCACCCAACCCCAAAAAAAAAAAGGAAAATCCAATAACAAATTGTAACTCATCCTCTACTTTTTTTACCCTCCCAAACCCAAATCTATACAAATGTTTCATCATAAAATCACCAAACATTTTTTACTCATTGATGCAAAAGCAACCTGAAACTGAAGTCATATGGTACTACTTGAACCAACTCCATAAGTGATTCTTTGTTCTTTCTCTCCATACACTTAACTGCTTCTTCTCTTAGTTTATCAGGTAATTGAAGGCAAACCCAATCGAGCAACGATTCCAAATCTTTCGCAAAGTCGAGTAAGTACCAATCTAATACCTTTGGAAGCATTAGTTTGTTGTTCTTTGAGATACCAACAGATGCTTGAAGATAATCTCTCTTTGCACCTTCTAACTCTTCCTCTACATTAGCTGCTGTGTAAACCCTTACCTGAATTTTCAAAAAAGGTTGGTGCTTCAGTTAGTTTACGGGTGTTTTGTCTGCGTATAATCGATTTTCACTGATTTTTTTGCAATCCCATGTCTGAAATTGCTTGAAAGATTTCATCTTTCGACGCCAAAGTTGAGTGTATACGATTTTAAGCACTACTTACAGCAGGAGAGGACCAGCTTCCACAAGCGAGGGCGAACGTGACTAAAGGCTCTGACCATTCTAATCCAAATGTGCTATGAGCTCTCATCTCTTCATGTGTTGCAGTTTTTGGACAAGTCTTTTCCAAAAGAAGAAGCAGGTATAAGATAAAAGAACCAAAGTTTGATTCGGCGGTATACAATTCAAAGAGAAGAGTATAATAAAAGGAACTTACGAATTTCAAGTGGTATGGAAGTCTCAAGATGAAATGTTCGATTGTGATTGCATTTAGCGAGTGTCCTCCTACAATTATTGTTGCCTGACACAACAAAGAGACGATAAATATAAAAAACCGGTAAACATGCTAAAGCGCAATGATGTCAAATTTCGGTGTGAGTCTATACCTTTTGCATAAGGGCAACAACCATTTCAGGTGTCCTGGGAATTCCGTGCTCCAAGAACGCCTATGAAGAGTAAATTGGAAACAGAACATCAGCTTTTATAACATCGTACAAACATTTCTCCATCATACAAAGAAAATCGTAGAAGTCTCACATTCATCACACATGAATTATAAGTATTTATCCAGAATGCAAGCTTCTGCTGGTGACTAAGACCGTCTAGATTTACAACGGAAAGCTTATTAAGCAGGAACCTGGAAATAGAAATAGTTGCACAAAACATGAGTTTAGAATATTCAATAATTATTCTAAAAGATTTCATATCATTTGTTTAAAGGAGAAACATACTTGAGACGATGGATTAGAAATGAAGCATTGATTCTTCTTCCAAGATCAATTGAAGATGCATCGACCGAGCAAAGATTCTTGTATGCACCAAGCTCTCTTGTTCTCCATTCTGAACAGTTACTATATGGATCCAATACAATGTCTTTCGACGAGCTAATCCTCAAGATAATACTCACCAGACATTTCAATAAATCCTCTGAAACTCTGTTTGCTGCATTTCCACTTTGCAATGATTTGTCTTCCGAAGATGAACCCGACACACTCTCCTGTGCTTTGTCCTGATCTGCTAATCTATCGTCTAGCTGAACGACCAAACAGAAAACTGTCAGAAAATTCTATCTATAGATTCATGCATTAGTGTAAGCGTAAATGTTTTATACATACCTGCAATTTGATCGATTCCGAGCATTTATCCGCTGCAGCATCCGGCTTAATCAAAGGTTTCTTCTTCTTCACAGATGTCAAGAATCTGCCAAGCTTCTTCTCAGGTGATTCTTTATCTCTCTTGTCTTTTAAAGCATTACTAGAGGTCTGATTCTCTTTCCCTCTCACATCTACAGGCTTAGTAACACTGCTCGGATTCGGTTTAGGCGATGCTTGTTTCCCATTTACCGTTCTCTGACCACTTCGTTCATTAGCTGTTTGATCAGAGGAGAAAAGCTTCCTACTTGAGATGCTTCTGCTAAGACTAAGAGACTGTTGATGCTTTTTAGGAGTGATCATCGAATTGAATTCGTGTTGGGACATGGATTTCGATCGCTGGTGTTTACTGCTTCTCACGGGAGAATTATCGGTCAAACCGTTGTTATTCGGACTCTCAAGATTCCTCTTTGAAGATATGTAAGCAGCTTCTTGGTATAAACCTTGTCTAAAGCTCACAACTTGCTCTTCTAATCGAACAACTTCCTCTTCAAGAACAGCTACTTCAGCAAGAAGCTCCAATGTCTTCAAATC